TCTGTCAAATAAATAAATAAAAAAAAATTAAAAAAAAATTACGTCATAGAACAGAAAGATAGTCCATGTTCATGGATTGGAAGACTTGATAGTATAAAGATGGTGGTACTACCCAAAGTGATCTACAGATTCAGTGCAGTCTCTACCAAAATCCTGATAGCCTTTTTTACAGAAATGGAGAAGTTGATCCTAAAATTCAGATGGAATTTCAAGGGACTCTGAATAGTCAAAATAGTCTTAAAAAAGAAAGATGATGGAGGAATAAACTTCAAATGTTAAATTTTTAAAAAGCTACAGTAATCAAAATGGGGGTGCTGGCATAAGGATAGACCTATCGATTAATGGCATTGAACTATAAATGAACCCATACATCTATCATCAATTGCATTTTGATGAGGGTACTAAGGCCATCAATGGGGGAAGGGACAATCTCTTCAACTAATAGTGCTGGGACACTTGGACATTGACATGCTAAATAATGAAATTGGATCCCAGCCTCACACTGTATACTACAAGTAACTGAAAATGGATCAAAGACCCAATTGTAACGGCCAAAACTCTTAGAAGAAGACATAAGGGTAAGTCTTCATGACTTTGGATTTGGTAATGGATTCTTAGGCATGAAAAGCACAAGCAGCAAAAGGAAAAAAAAATAGCTAAATTGGACTCCACCAAAATTTAAAACTTTTGTGCATCAAAGGACACTATTAAGAAAGTGGCAAGAAAATCTAGAGAATTGGAGAGGACATTTGCAAATCCGATGAGGGCTCTAGTATTCATAATATATTAAAAACTCTTACAATTCAGCAATAAAAAACAACCCAATTAAAATATGGACAAAGACTTGATTGGACAGTTCTCCAAAGAAGATAGAAAAATGGCCAACATACCTATGAAAAGATGTTCAAAATCATTGGACAGTAGAGAAATGCAAAACTACAGTGTGGTACCACTCCATGCCTACAAGGATGGCTGTGATAAACAGAAAATAAGTGTTGGTGAGGGTGTGAAAGAATTGGAACCCTCAGGCTTTGTTGGTGAGAAGGGAAAATGATGTAGTCACTATGAAAAACAGTTCGGCAATTCCTCAAAAAGTTCAACATAGAATTACTATATGACCCAGCAATTCTGCTTCTAGGTATAGATACCAAGTAGTTGAAGATCTATATTCAAACAAATACTTGTACACAAATGTTCATAGTCGCACTATCCACAGAAGGGAAAGGTGAAAACAACCCAAATGTCCATCAGTGGATGAATGAACAAAATGTGATATATCCATACAATGGGATATTTTTCAGTCTTAAAAAGGAATGAAGTACTGATACATGCTACAATACAGAAGAACCTCAAAATATCATGCTAGGGACGCCTGGGTGGCTCATTTGGTTAAGTATCTGCCTTTGGCTCAGGTCACGATCCCAGAGTCCAGGGATCGAGTCCCCTGTTGGGCTCCCTGCTTGGCAGGGAGCCTGCTTCTCCCTCTGCCTTTGCTGCTCCCCCTGCTTGTACTCTCTCTCTCTCTCCCTCTCTCTCTCTCTTTCTCTGACAAATAAAATCTTAAAAAATTTTTTTTTTAAATCATGCTAAGTAAAAGATGGATATAAAAGGTCACCTTTCGGGGCGCCTGGGTGGCTCAGTGGATTAAAGCCTCTGCCTTCAGCTCAGGTCATGATCCCAGGGTCCTGGGATCGAGCCCTGCTTCGGGCTCTCTGCTCAGCAGGGAGCCTGCTTCCTCCTCTCTCCTCTCTCTCTCTGCCTGCCTCTCTGCCTACTTGTGATCTCTGTCTGTCAAATAAATAAATAAAATCTTTAAAAAAAAAAAAAAAGTCACCTTTCATATGATTTGCGTTTTTCTGAAATACCCAGAATAGGTAAATCCATAGGGACATAAAGCATAGTAGTGGTTGCCGGGGCTGGAGCAGGGGGTGGCAGTGGCTACTTAATGAGTACGAGGTTTCATTTTGGGGTGACTGAAATGTTTTGGAACTAGGTAGAGGTGATAGTTGCACAATATTGTGACTATACTAAATGCCAGTGAATTGCTCACTTTAAAATCGTTGATTTTATGTTATGTGAATTTTTTTAAATGATGTCATATCATTTTTATGATCTCATAAATAACGGTGGCTTTGCTGTCATAGTTACCTGGTGACTGTTGGAACCCATGTGCTTTACGGCGTTTGTCCACTAGGGAAGTTCTTTCCAGCTGTGGGCAGGAAAACTTGAAGATGGATGATCCCAAGTGGGTTTCCTTCTAAAATAACAATTTTAAATTAAGAAATACAGTTTTACTTTTCCATTTTTATTTGTGGAAGCTGGTAAAACTCCTAGAATGGGCCCTGGGTGGTTTTAAAATGTGATATGGACTAATGTTGGTTAGTTTCTTCATTTAACTTGAAAAATTGTGTTTAAAATAGCTATATTATTTGGATATGGAACAGCTTTTGGTTTTATGAAGATTAAGAGCAATTTTAAAAGAGGAGCGCCTGGGCAGCTCCTTTCAGCTTGGGTCATGATCCCGGGGTCCTGAGCTCTGCTCTGGCTCCCTGCTGGGGGGGGGGCGGATTCTGCTTTGCCCTCTCCCTTTGATCCTCTTCCCTGCTCCTGCGCTTGCTTAATCTCTCTTCCCTCTCAAATGAATAATAATAAAAAAAAAAGAATCTAAGCTTTATATGTATACATGCAATTGCAATAAGATTTTTCTAGTGGTTTGCCACACTGCACTGCTAGAGATTTTTGTGACAATTTCTGAAACCATCAACCATCACATAATGCTTTATTGTCAGTGGAATTGGTGTCGGACATAAGAAAGTTGTTTTCAGATCAAGTGGAGCTTGTGCAAAAACTAAAAATCTGAGTTTCTTATTTTGTAACTTCTTTGTTTTTTGAATGAAGGAATTTAGGTTAGATTTTGGCGAAATATCCGGCATTGAGAAGAGTTCTCAGAAACATAGAAGTGCTTTGTCAATGATCGTGATGTTTTTCTTTACAATGAAATTGATGCTTCTGTCCCATAGTTCTGCTTCTGCCCCAGTGTTGTTTATGGGTTGTTTCTCCAGCAGATGTATTTATGCTCGTTGTCTTGCACACTCGCACCTGATTCCTTATAAGATCCAGAGTGCGCCGTCCAGCTAAGAGTTTGTAGACATGAAGCAAACAAAGCGAACTGATTTGTAGTAGATTGAATCCAGGGCTTTTGGCATCATTAGCATCGTGTCCCACTCAGCTGAACTAGAGTGTGAGAGAAAAAATGCTTTGGCTGAGCCAGGCTTCACAATTTCAAAATGAGAAGGGGATCTGGTAAGCACAGCAAAGTACCTGGAGTAAATATAATATGCTGAAGGTGTGGGTAAATGTGAGTGTTCGGCTTATAATAATTATTGCTTTTGATTTCCACAAAATTAGGAAGATCTCCTTTTTGTTATGTTCACTGGATAATGCTTAATTTTTTAAAAAAAGATTTTGTTTATTTATTTGAGGGAGAGAGTAAGTGAGAGCACGAGAGGGGAGAAGGTCAGAGGGAGAAGCAGACTCCCTGTGGAGCTGGGAGCCTGATGTGAGACTCGATCCCGGGACTCCAGGATCATAACCTGAGCCAAAGGCAGTCGCTTAACCAACCTAGCCACCCAGGTGCCATGGATAATGTTTTAAAATAAAAGATCAGTTTTTTAGTTGTATAGAATTCAAAGTTAAGTTTTTCAGTCAATTATTAATTAGGAAAATTTTCCCACAAGAGTGAATTTAACTGGACATGGTGTTGTTCTCCCATGACAGCAGTAGAAGAAAACGAGTTATGCTTCGTTTTCTTATGCTTACTGTGGGTTTCTGTTTGCCCAGGGACCCCGCCTTTGAGCAGCAGCCTAGTGCATTTCCTTGCAAATTTACTTAACCTTTCCGTGCCTTAGTTTCCTTACCTTGGGGATTAGAATAATGGAATCTATTGCATATGGATGTTATAAAGAATGAATGGGTTAATATAGTCAGAGCTCTTAGAACAGTACCTGACACAGAGTAGAAGCTTGAAATGTGAACGTTAAAGACGGAAGAATAATGGCGAAGGATGAACGGGAGCTGCTTTGGTGAGGGCGGACTTGTTTACATGCACAGACACTTCTAGTTCTGACCCTTTCTTGTGTGCCAGTAGACTGCTCTGTCTGAAGTTCTGAGAGCCTCTGGTACACTCACTTTAGGGCCACCTTCCTGCTAATGGGCATCTCAACCAAAGAGAATGCTTTGGGGAAAAAAAGAAGTAACTCAAAAGCAGTGGTTTTTCAACTGTTTCCCAAGAAATTTTAACATTGCATGCAGCGTCTCTCGTGGTTTGTTGAAAACACATAGTCATTGTCTCATGCATTTGCCAAGAATTACTGTTTACCCATCGTTGGGAAGAGTGGGACGACATCAGGGTAAGAGTCAGAGACAAAGATGGTGATAACATGGTTCCTCGGCCTGGAACTCACAGTCCAGACCATTTTTTGTACCACTAGAATCCATGCCAAGAAAGCCCCAGGGCTTTGAATGGAAGAATATCAGAAAGCAACCCATTTTTAATGGTGTGCTTCTTGGAGTTGTAAGGCCACACATAGGTTACTTTTCTCATCTCTGTTAAGCCATCTCATATGCAGCTAGAAAGAGGGACAGGGAAACTCACTGGTGTAAAGAGTGTTAAAATTACTCATTTTACGAATCATCTTGTTCTGATCTATTATCAGAGAGAATTGAGTTTGTCTTATTTCCACTCATTATTTTTTCAGTTTCTACTAGCATTTTTATAGTTTCAAATTGCTAGTTTGTATTTGTGCAGTCCCTTTTTACTCTCCTTCCTCTCTGCCCCCGGCCTTGGTTTTCCTGTTTGTGTGTAGTTGTGGTGGAAATGAATTAGGAAAGGAGATTGATGAGCATGGATAACTTCACTTCCTAGAAGGTGCTTTATCTCTTCTCATAAAGTAATGGTTTGCTGCTTCTTTCTCAGGACTGAACTGCAGCTACAGAAGCAACAAGTGGACCTTTCAAGATGCATACAGGGCTGCGAGAAATGAAGGGAGACACTGGAGAGACCAACGAAGGGAGGAAGAAGCATGTTTCCTGGGTAAATAGTATGCTTCTGGATTTTAACAAGTTTCTTGCCATATCGGTTACCAGACTTTGCAACACCTAAGTCTCTGGAGCTATATTTAGTCTTTGCATTGTTGTTAAACATTCTTTATTTTCTCCTCCCTCCATTTTCATTGCTGAGCTCTTTGGTCAAATGATTCTTCTTTTTATTGATGAATCCAAAAATCTGCATTGAATATACAATTTAGGTGATTTCTTAGATCACTTGATAGGAACTTCTTATATCTTAGGCTGACTGCTGGCTATACAAAAGTTGAGTTGTGTATCGTGTCTTTGTAATGTGCGGTTTAGTCCGAGGCCAGCTTTTAGTCTGGGTGTGAGACTTAAACTTCCATTTCATTAAATGACTGACTTGAAAAACTAGAACACTACTTTGAATACCAGTTATCCAAGCCATGCACTCAGGCCGCCCTCTGGAATAGGAAACATTTTTCAATGCTAATGTAATAACTAAAGACAAAGCAGACCGGCAAATAATCAGTGTAAATAGACCTGGCCTTCACTTGCTGAAGTACATGTGCCCTACTTAAGGTTTTTGAGGGTCATTTATTTGAGTTGTGAACTCAGTACACTGAGTTCAGAATACGTTCTGTTATTAAGCCACTCAGCTTGTGCTCAGACTTCAGGGTTTTGTTGTTGTTGCTGCTATTGTTAAAGCTTTTTAAGGAAAGGAAATCTATTGCATTATTTTTCATATAAAGTTAAGAGTTTTTCTTCAATGTGCTGGCTAGAAATTTTTGGAAAGAGAGGGGGAAGAAATGGAGTCAGAGCCGTTGACAGTGCATCATGCTGGAAGTTCTGTCACCCCGACTTAGACAACTCCGTGGCAGCAACCACTCCTCCACAAGTCTGGGGCCATGCAGTCCGCAGATATGTTTCTACTGTTATAGCTTCTGGAACTTCCTACCTTATGGTGAATTGCCTCAGGGCTACTGTTAGATATATACCTTCCAGCGTGCTCATTCTTTAACTTTGAGTTGTAGACGGAATAAAAACCGTTGAGTGGCCTTGTATCTGAGTCCTCTAAACTAGAAGTGGCATAACACAAGCTTATTCACAAGTGAACTTTATGCACATTTTCTAGTGCTCACCTTCACACCAGCTGTTCTCGTCACACTGGTCGCCTTGCTCTCCCAGTCAGTCCAGAAGTGCTCCTGCCCCAAATCTTCTCTTCTCAGGGGGGCACCTGGGTGGCTCAGTCGGTTAAGTGTCTGACTCTTGATTTCAGCTCAGGTCATGATCTCGGGGTTGTGGGATCAGGCCCCGCGTTGGGCTCCGTGTGGAGTCTGCTTGACATTCTCTCTCTCCCTCTCCTTCTGCCTCTCCCCGCTCTTTGCACTTGCTCTCTCTCTAAAATAAATAAATAAAATCTTTAAAAAAATCTTTTCTGGGGCACTTGGGTGGCTCACTCAGTTAAATATCTGGCTTCGGCTCGGGTCATGATCTCAGGGTCCTGGGATCGAGGCCTGCATGGGCTCTCTGCTCAGTGGGGAGCCTGCTTCTCCTTCACCTGCTCCCCCCGCTCATGCTTGCACGCACTCTCCCTCTCTTTTTCTCTCTCTGCCAAATAAATACATAAAATCTTAAAAAAAAAAAAATCTTTTCCTCTCAGATAGCTGCATGGCTCCTGCCCTCTTTCTCCTTTAGGTTTCTGCTGAGGGGACAAAGTTAATAGGAAGGGCAAAGCCAAATTGGAATCACCAGAATTCTCTGTTAGTCTCTGCGCTTACTACCTGGTAACACTGAGCCATCTTGTCTCGCTCCAGCTGAGCTCATCTGTCCCACTCCTCTCCTACCTATCAAGTACGATATTTTCTTTATTCTACACATCATGCTTTTTCTAGTTCACCTTTAAGATCTTTTAAAATTGACCTTTCACTTTTAAAGGCACATACATTTGACTCCGCAATTGCATTTCTAGGAATTTATCTCACATCTAACCTCATACAGTTACGCCGGTAACGCTGTTCCGCCTCAGCCTCTCTTGAATCCCCATACATGCTTCCTGTCCTCAGTAGCCCTTGAGCAGAGACTGACTACCTCTTACTGCCATTATTTCACTGTGGCCAGGGGTCATGTCCCTTTCCATAAAACTTAGGCAACTGCCCGCTTCTTTGCCTAAATTGCAGTGTATTGGAGACATTTGCACAATAGCTAATTATATCCCCTTGCAGGTTTCTTCCTTTGAACTCCTGTTCCCTTACACCAGTCTTTGTCTTCCCATTTGCGAATATCTCAAACGGTTACACTTTTGCATTGTATTTTTTAGATATTTAGATAACTAAACATATACACATGTGCTGGTGGTAACTCTACTTGGCTGCACACTAGAATAATCTCAGAAGCTTTATAAAATAATAATGCCTGGTCACACCCCCAGGGATTCTGAGACAGTTTGTCTAGGGTGAGGCACAGCATTAGAATTTTATTTGTTTTTTATTTTTTTAATAATTTTTTAAAATTCTGGTATAATTAACTTGCAGTATTAGTTTCCGGTGTATGCTACAGTGATTCAGCATTTCTGTACATTACTCAGTGACGATCATGATAAGTGCTCTTAATCCCCCTCACCCATCCCCCTCCCCGCCTCCCCTCTGGTAACCATCTGTTCTTTTATAGTTAAGAGTCAGTTTTTTGTCTCTCTTTTTCTTTGTCCATTTGTTTTGTTTCTTAAATTGCATATATGGGTGAAATCATATGGTATTGGCCTTTCTCTGACTTACTTCACTTAGCATCATACCCTCTCGATCTGTCCATGTTGTTGCAAATGGCACCTCTAGAATTTTACATTTTAAATAGAAAATCCATTTATTTAGGTGTTTTTTTTTTTAAGTTGCCACTATGCGCTATGTGGAGCCCAACATGGGGCTTGAACCCACGACTCTGATATCAAGGGTCAGATGCTTAACTGACTGAGCCACCCAGGTGCCCATCCAAATTTAACACAAGCTACCTCCCCTACAATTTTATTGCCTTTCTTTATTTTCAGTTGTTCCAACTTCATGCATTTCTTTTTTTTTTAAATTAAATTTACCATAGTATCACTTTTATTTTTTTTTTAAAGATTTTATTTATTTATTTATTTGACAGAGAGAGAGATCACAAGTAGACGGAGAGGCAGGCAGAGAGAGAGAGAGAGAGAGGGAAGCAGGTTCCCTGCTGAGCAGAGAACCTGATGCGGGACTGGATCCCAGGACCCTGAGATCATGACCTGAGCCGAAGGCAGTGGCTTAACCCACTGAGCCACCCAGGCGCCCCCATAGTATCACTTTTAGTCTCTTCACAGAAACTTGTAATAGAAACATAAAACTTTTAAAGAGGAAGAGGCAGTGAAAAATCAGTTTCCTGCTCCTGTTCCACAGGCAGGCACTTACCTCTCCTAAGCAGCAACTCCTATCTGTTTCTTGAGGTTCCTTCCAAAGTATTTGTTTTTTGCTTTCAAAATAACTAACTCCTTTCTTTAAAAAAAAAAAAAAAAAGTTTCTCTTGGTTTTTTTGGTTGTTTCTCAATGTTACTAGTTGTGTGCTTAGTTTTTACTTTTTTTTCTTGACAAAACTCAAAGCAATGTTTGTCTTCTGTTCTTTTCATTGTCCATAGATACTTTATGTGGTGATTTTGTAACAATTTCTAACTTCTTTATTGTCATTTCAGAGCTTATCTCTTCCAAGCAGAATATTGTTGGATTTTGTCTTCTGTTCAACCAATCTTGAAGATTCTATGACTTACATCTAAATTCATCCTCTTTAATTCATGGTTGCTGTTGCATTTGTTCTATTTTCTGTATGTAACTTGTTTCTTGATTTTTATATTTCTTAGTTGTCTCTTTTCTGTTACACCTTCAGTTTTGGGGAAATGCTTTTCTTTCCTTTCAACTTTTGAACAAATTTTAAAGGTGAACAATCTTTCGAATTTTCTTAGTGCCAGAAATAACATTTGTTTCTATATTTATTTACTATGATCAAAGCAAAAGCAGGAACTTTCCTTTCCTTCCATATAAGGAAACTCAGTTTCTCCCTGTTTTGGCATCCCCTCTCCCTATTCCTTATCTACCCCCTTTTTTTTTTCTTGCACACTTTGCATTTGTTCTGTGAGGTGTACTCATTCTTCTGGGCTTCAGCCTGGTACTCAGAAGTATTTTGCTATTCCTGCATTCATTTAGTTAATGACCACTGAGGCGTCACTCGGAGCTGGATGGATGCTGAGGTAGGTGCAGGAGATTCAAAGATAAAGGTGGTTCTGACCCTGCCATCAGGGTCCCCATTCTGGTTGAGGACATAGCATGCACGCAGACTAACAATGGCAAAAGATGTGATGTGTCAGGTGTCCTGGAGACACAGAGGGAGGGAGGGAGGGAGACATGGATGGAGGGAGTCATGTTTGGTGAATCAGCAAAGGCATCCTGGGAGCTGCTGCTACTGTACCAGTAGAGCTTTGTGAGATAGAGGATAAAGCAAAAGGGCTTGGGCCTGAAGGTGCCCACGTTTTTTGCCCAAGTTCGTCAAAACCTGGCTGGATATGAGACTGAAAAAAGGGATGTCGGGCCACATTGTGAAGCGCCTCAAGTGTTTGACCAACAAGTTTCCATTTGGATCCTGTGGGCTGTGTCCCAGAGGCTTTAAAGCAGGGAAGTGCCATGCTCAGGTTTGTGTTCAGGAAGATAACTGGCTGTGGTGTGAAGTGCGGACGGCAGGAAGTCGGTGAAGCTGCTCTGGCAGCCGTCCAGGTAAGCAGTGGTGGGAACTCGAGCAAGGTGGTAGCAGTGGTGATGGAGAAGAGAACATGATGTGTTTTGAAGCAGTGTCTAAAAATGCTAGTGTCTCGCTCAGGTGAGACTGGGAATGAGAGGCTGACCGAGAGGGTTTTTTTGGTTTGTTTTAGGGAAGGTGATAGCAGATGGTGGAAATATTGACCAACTTCTGGGGCGGGTAAAGGGTGCCGAGGGGATTGCAGAGACTCATTTGGAAAGAGACAAA